TGCAGACATTCGCCCACGAAGCAACGCTTCGCCTTGGTCACCTTCACCTTCCACATTCCCCTCGCTGCCTGCACCCCTGTTAGGCCGCCCTGTTGGGTCAACACCAGCCTGATTGCGGCGGCTCCGTCAGAGGCCACCGCGGGCCTGGGGATCGGGGAGGGGGGGGGGGGCAGATAGCATCAGCGGGCGCGACAAAGCGCCCGGGGCGGTGTCATCCGTCAGGGCCGCCGTCAGGACGGCCGGCGGACGGGACGCGCCGACCCCGCCCACCGGCCGCGGCCGCTTCCGGTCCCGCGGCCGGCCGCCGACGCCGGCCCGTCGGCGCGCGGAACCGTCCAGCCGCGTCCACCGCGGAACGGCGGAGCTGCTGCGTCCGGACCGACCCGCCAGCCCACAGCGGAGGTGCTGTGAGCGTACCCGCCAGCGCACAGCAGAGGTGCTGCGTCTAGACCCGTCAGCACACAACGAAGGAGCTGCGTCCGGACCCGTTAGGGCACAGCGAAGGCGTTGCGTCCCGCACAGCGGAGGTGCTATGTCCGTACCCGTCAGTACACAGCGGAAGTGCTGCGTCCGTACCCGCCAGCGTACAGCGGAGGTGCTGCGTCCGGACCCGCCAGCACACAGCGGAGGTACTGTGTCCGTACCTGCCAGCGCACAGCGGAGGTGCTGCGTCCGTACCCGCCAGCGCACAGCGGAGGTGCTGCGACCGGACCCGCAGCACACAGCGGAGGCGGAGTACCGCTGTGCGCTGAACGAGACATAGTACCTCCGAGGTGCCCGCCGCCGTCTCTGGCAGTGCTTGAGTCCCAAATGTGATCAATCCAAACGCTACTTGGAGTCCGCGTAAGCGTAATGCGTAATGCGTTATGCGTAAGTGTAACATGCATATACTTTTCACGCGCGGGCGTGGGCGTGGGGCATGAGTTTCGCGGGAAATGAGAAGACTTGCGCACCTGTCCTCGTCCCGCCGCGCTCTCCGCCTGTCCCAACCCATGCCTATGAAGGTGTCAGTGGACTCAGTGGAGCGCACGCGTTGCCATCTAGTTCGAACAGCTGCCAGATCGGACAGCCGTGCGGTGCTGACCGCCCCCGTGAGGAGCGACCATCGGTGTCTTATTTCGAGGCGGCGCCGCTCATCTTAATTTTTAATTTTCGTTTGTTTGCATTTGTTTCACGTTGTGAGTTATACTAAGGCCCAGTGCCTCGGGCTCGCAACTTAAGTCAGCAGAGGCATAGCAGAAAATTCGGAAGCGTGACTCGCGGCGAATGATCGTTTTGGATGCGAATTGCGATGCCTTGCAGGGTACGATCTTGGCTGTGAACAGCCGCAGAAGATCGTCGTTGTGCAGCCCCGTGGCTGTTGGCTGCCGTGAGTTGCTGTTGACTATCGCTGCGAATAGCTGGGGATGAGTGCTGTGGCCGTGTCTGGCCGGCTGCAGGTCTGGACCAGGCGTGACACACCGGCCGGCTGCAGGTCTGGACCAGGTGTGACACGCTGGCCGGCTGCGGGTCTGGACCAGGCGTGACGCACTGGCCGGCTGCAGGTCTGGACCAGGTGTGATACACTGGCCGGCTACAGGTCTGGACCAGGTGTGACACACTGGCCGGCTGCAGGTCTGGACCAGGTGTGATACACTGGCCGGCTACATGTCTGGACCAGGTGTGACACACTGGCCGGCTGCAGGTCTGGACCAGGTGTGACACGCTGGCCGGCTGCGGGTCTGGACCAGGTGTGACACGCTGGCCGGCTGCAGGTCTGGACCAGGTGTGACACACTGGCCACGCATGCGGCCAGCGGGAAATAAGTGACGAAATGTAAGCCCCCATGATTGTGCAGTACATTCCTGTTTGGCTCCCGGATAACATTAGAGCTGTTTTCTCCCAATCGAAGCTGTTTCCCCTGATGGGTGGGTCTGTCAAACACTCCTGTGCCGGTCTTTTAATGTGCGGACCCCCATGGCTGTATTTGAGTCATAGGAGGAGGATGCAGCCTGCATGGTGCAACAGCGGGCACCCAAGCTGGCAATGCAATTAGCACTGCATTTAGCTTTCACTGCAATTTACTCGTTCTGATAGCGCAGCTGCGTTACCGCAAGTTTACAACTCACTGCGTCCTCGGTCAGAAGTTCAATAACAATTGAAGCCATCATCAGCTTGCCGTGCATGGTGATGACTCAGCGTGGACAAGACACGATGCTCAGACAAGCACGTGAGATGGGAAAGTCACGGATGCGAACCGTTCATAGCTATTCGACTGTTACAGACCGGGGCAGCTGCATTGAGCGTTCAAGAAGTTTTGGGGCGCTGCATTTTAACAAAAAAAAAGCACGACAGTTATCTTTATCTGTTAGGACATTGACGTAGAGCACAATGAACATTACTCTTAAAGATAAAAACCTTCATTAGAACTGTATTACTAGTTGTAGATTCGTTTCATACAAATGAATCCTTCGCCACTTCAGCATACCCAAATGTCCAAAAAAAGCAAATAAAAATAGGCTGGGTCATGTTGCCTAGACTATCCAAGAAAGCATACCGCCCACCGTGCTGTCCACCCCATCCAGGGGCTGAATGCCTGGACTTCCCCGCCTGCCAAGCGTAGTGTGCAACCCCCCCCCCCCCCCCCCCCCCACGGACGGCGTCAGGCAGCAGTCCACTGTAGTCTACATCACCTGTGTAGGTGATGTAGACTACATTCCTGGGCGACGTCAGCTAGCAGTCCGCCGCAGACCCTGGCGAACAGTGTTGAACAGACAAGCGTGCACCAGAGGTCGATCGGTGCGATCCCAGGCCCACCTGCAGTCGGCTGCTCAGCGGTCGGCCCGTGCCGACCGCGCGCCGTTGAGCGCGCGCCGCCGGCCGGAGCGGGGCGCCCGCCAGTAGCGCCATCTACTGACCCCTGCGCAGAGGCGTGGGATGGCATGTGTCAAGCGCAGGACGCTGGCGACGTCCGACTTACGTGGTGTTGGTCAGATACGGCCTGGTCACGTGGTATTTATCAGATACGGCACTGTACACTTGTAGAGGGCACTTGGGGAGGTTCAAAGGGGCCAAATGTTCCGATAGAGCGAGCAATGATCGGCATTACTCATAAAATGCAAGCCCCCGGGGTTTGCACTGATATTGTTGTCATGACAGCTTTTTTTCCCGCGTCTACCGACTACGTCTCGTATTTTTTCCAACAAAGGACGCATCACATGGCCTTTGTGAGTTCGCGTTAAGCACGCAGAACAAAACTATTTGTATTTGGTTACGAGGCAGGGCAAACGAGCTCAAAGGAAGCCACACTTTCTGCATTTTTTAAAATACATATTTACTGCAAAATTCAGTCGCCATGACCGATGGTCTTTCGCGTTTACCGTTCTCCGTGATTGCGTCCCGCAACCGTTTTTAGAATGTGCCGGTTCTGGGCTGGTCCGTTGGCGTCCGCAGCGTTTTCCGCCGCTGATGCGCCGCCGGCCCGGAGCCCGAGCACCAATCGGCGCGCTAGGCGGCGCAGCGGAGACGAGATCGGCGCAGTGTGGTGATGGATGGGTCCGGACCGGCCCGGTTCCGTCAGCTCTGATTTATGTTGCGGCGGTTCTGGCGCACGGCGAGTGACGCAGAACAGGCCGCTTGATGGAGCGTCGGGGCTTTAATCGGAGGCATTAAAGGAAATTATTCCGCTGGCTCCATTGGCCGATTATATTAGCACCGAACGACTCGATTTGTCAGCCAGTAGCTATACGTGCGTGGTTTGGGTTTCGAAAGCGCCTCTGTAACGCGCAGGAGACGGGGCGTTGCGGTTGGTGCCGCTTCTCGGAGCGGTGTTTTGTAAGGCGAGCTTGGTATTGCGTGTTGATGTCAGGCTTAGTAACGATCATCGTTGACGTATTTTGATGCTTAGCATTCCGTAATGGAGGAAAGAGAGACGCCCAGCGTTTCACTTAGTCCATTCGTACTCCCGTGGTCAAATGACGCAATAGCCTCAGTGAAGGTGGTCCAGCTCCAAGCCAATGTACCATTCGCTGCGGTTGGGACGCCTGCTGTCGGTTGACGTCCGTCAACAATGCCGTCTCGTCACAACTGTTCGTAACTCGCACGCCTTACTGTGCGAATGCTTCTTTGCATACCCGTGAAAACGTTCTGTTTAGGACGATTCGTGAACTGCATGCTGTCTCTGTGGGCCAAAAGTTAAAACCAGCGTAATTGCACTTTCATCAGCCTCATCACAAGCGGTCAAGCAGTACCCACAAATATCGCGTTTTATTTGATTGCATTCCTGCTGCTTACTGTGGTCATTCTGTTACGTCAAACGTGGAATTCTTTCACAAACCTTCTCCGTGCAGTTTTCTGTGCAGCATTTCTAGACACGCCTAACTGAGGAGAGCCCTTCAGGAACACCCGTTTCCACGTTTCTCGCATCCAGGTGGCTCCGATCGCGCCCTCGCGTAAATCACGTTCGCTTGCGGCGTCGCATCCCTGCCGCGCCCGTCACCTCGATGAAGCGGTCGGCGCTGCCCCACTGTGACCCCGTGTCGCCTCGCCGCGCGCCCGTCGACCCCCTCCGCTGCATCCTGCAGCGCCGAGGCCGCCTCCGCGTCAGCACGCGCCGATCTGGCGCGCGCCCGACGCCGACCGGGGTAATTAAGCCATCGGCTAGTTAGAGTGGCGCCGTGGGGACCGATCATCGCACCAAAGGCGGTAATTGGGCTCCCATGTGTCGCATCAGTTTAGGCAGGCGCACGGCGGTGTCCGGCGGCGCCCAGCGGCGACGCGGGCCCACCTCCCAGGCGGACATACCGCGCTGCTGAGCGCACCAATAGCGTCCCACTGGGCGCGCAGCCGGAGGCCGCTCACGCCCCGCCCCCGGCGCGCGCGCCCATTGGCGGGCGCGGCCGCTCCATTGTGCGCGGGCCAATCGGCGGAGGCGGCGGCGGCCGGCGCAGCGGGGCCCGGCCTCCAGCTGACTGAGAACGAATCGCACGCGGCGTTTCTGTTGCAGAGGGCACCTCCTGCGGCGCGCACGTCCGTCTGAAGAGTGGGTATTATGGTATCGGAGAGGGGCAGTGTCTTGCTGGGTCCTGTGGCGTTCGCTCCGCGTGGTGACGTGTCCGCCGTCCCGCCTCGCGCCCGTGCCGAGACGGCGTGCCCTCCCGCGACGGCCGACCTGTGGCGCGCGCCGCTCGCCGCCGCCAGGATGCACGTCGACACGAAGCCGGTGGTGAACCCGTTCATGGAGGCCGGCCACGGCCCGGTCGGCCTCATGTTCGGGCCGAGCATGAGCGCCGCCGAGGCCAGCATGCAGAACCAGTACCAGAACGGCTACGGCATGGGCGTGCCGGTGAGTCACCACGGCATGCACGGCCACATGGGCTCGTACGCAGCGCGCGACTTCTTCCTGCGCCGCGACCACATGGCCGGCTCGCTGGGCGCGCTGGGCGGCCACGACCTGCCGCAGCAGCACCACAGCGTGTTCGCCTCTTCCGGGCTCGGCCACCACGAGCCGTCCATGGTGCTGCCCGGCCTGCACGACCAGCAGCACGCGCACATGAACAGCCAGATGCGACTGGGCTCCATGTACGGCGCCGAACAGTTTCAGCAGCTGTCGGGCAACCAGTTCCACCACCAGATGAACTGGAACATGGGCGCCATGGGCGCGCCGCACGGCTGCTACCGATACTTGCGTCAGCCGCTCAAGCAGGAGATGACCTGCAAGTGGATCGACCCCGACCAGCCGTCGCCCAAGAAAGTGTGCAACAAAACGTTTCACAGCCTGCACGAGATTGTGAACCACCTGACAGTGGACCACGTGGGCGGTCCCGAGTGCACGAACCACGCCTGCTGCTGGCAGAGCTGTGCACGCAACGGACGCGGCTTCAAGGCCAAGTACAAGCTGGTGAACCACATCCGCGTGCACACGGGCGAGAAGCCGTTCCCGTGCCCGTTCCCCGGCTGTGGCAAGGTGTTCGCCCGCTCCGAGAACCTCAAGATCCACAAACGAACGCACACAGGTCAGTACTGGCGCTGCGCGCTGCCACAACGGCTGCTCTGGGAGTGCTTGATCGCGAACTGAATGTTTGTTTGGTGTTGTTCTCCACTTTGGGGTTGGATGGCTGGCACATTTTAATAATTGTTGCCCTATTTGCCATAAGTTTTACGCTTTCGTAGCATCACCAGGCTCGGCCGACTGTCGCAATAGGGGAAGACCGCCACGGAAATCGCCAGCATTTCCACGGCGTATGTGGACTTTCCCTCCCCTCACAGACCTCGCCGGACACAAATCCGCATTTGTTCGCGTGTCCACCCTGCCGCCAGTCGCCGTCATGACGCGTTGTTGGCGCGCGCGCGGCGGTCGGGCGCGGTCGGAGGTGGCGCGCCGCCGGCCGCCGCCGGCCGCCAGGCGCCGTAAACCCCGACCCGATGGTATCTGTCGGCCGCCACCCGCCGCCATCCGCCGCCGATCACACCACACGGCCTAACAGGGGTACGGGCCGCGCACCGAGGTGCTGAGGCGGAAGGCATTCGCGTCACGCGCGCGCCGATCTCGCTCTGTCGTCGCGCACGCGGCCCGTCACGCCTCACCCGGAGAAATGCCAACAATGCGACAAGCGCGTGGATTTGCATACAAAATATTCGGCCGCGCACGTCATTGTTTAAAATGTTTCACATTCCACGATAGCAAAAACTGTGTCAACCGTCGGCTGGCGATTTATCCGGGCGTACGGTCAGGTCTGGGCCGGACCGGGCCGTTCCTGGGGCGATCATGTCATTATCGCGACGGTCAAGTGTGTCATTTGTTATCGCGGCGGATATTTTACCTGTGGGACCGTGTCCTTTGACTGGACATCCACTTGGGCTCCGGCCTGGCCCGTAGATCGTTCCCAGATGACCAAATGGCGCCGGCTCCTTTCTGCCGGTCATTTCTCTCGGGGACGAACGGGACGCGAAACAAAAAGATTGTCCTTGTTCCCGGGCCCGGCCGGCCCGCTATCCATCTTCCCAGCCCGTAACTCGGCCGGTAGTCTCTGTGCGATATTCCCGGCTTTCCCTGAAATATTTCTCATGTTAATTCGGCCGACAAAAAAGTCGGCGCGCTCCGACCGGAATGCGCTTGCGACAAACTTGCCGCGCGCCGCTGCTACCTCCCCTGTGTCCTCGTAATGACGCGAGCCGCGCCGCGGCCGCCGCTGTCCCGTGGCTGGTCACCGTTGCCGTCCCCCAATAAATCATGGAGGTTTAAAACTCGGCGCGGCTTTCGGGGGGCGGGCCAGACGCCGGGGTGAGGTGGCGCCCGCCGACCTGGGGGGTCCCTCCAGACACCCCGTCCCCAGTGTCGCCTGCCGCTGTCGGCGGCGCCCAAACCCCCTGTCCGTGACATACGAGAACAGAGGACAGACGGGCCTCAATCGGGCCATGTCGTCGGCCATTTGCTTGCCTCAGCATATGGCCGAGAAATGTAGCTGCTGTTATCTGCGTCTTCCCCTGGTTGGTGCCAGCGCATTTGCCTCCACGAAATGTCTGTCTCGTTTGCCAGCAACTACGCTTTGCTGTGTGCTTGCGCTCGAGACGCCAGCGTTTCTCCATAGTTGCAATATTTTTGTAGCCATATGTTTGTTTGATCTTGAACATTTTGCGTTGGCTTAATGCCATGCGGCTTTTTATCAAATTTGTGCCAACGACAAGCGGCACTTCGCCACTGCACGCGGTAATGCCTAGCCTGACGGTTGTCAACGAGCGCAACCTGGCTACATTGTTATAACCGATCAAAACATCACCGTTTTTCATTATTCTCTGCTTGCTTTTTATGAGTATATATCATTACGTGTGCGGTGAGCTTTGTATCTCTCTGGAGGGATCTGACGTACGTTCTTCCCGCCCTAATTCCCAGTTCTGATCCCCCCCCCCCCCCCTCCCCCGTGCCTGATGAAAATAATCAGTTACTCTCTTACAAAACCGCAAAAGCTAGTATGTTTGCGAGAAAATCGTCGTTCGCCTCACTCCAATGACTTTTTAAAGATCTGCCTACGGAGCACACCTCTCAGCTCTCCTGCTCGGCTCAGGTGCTGCCTATGTCCTATGACATCAGGTGTACTGTAGTCTGGAATGGTCGCGCGGCTCTTCGAATGTTTAACCGCTGAACATCACGGGTATGAGCTGAACTGTGGAAGGCAGCCGGTGCTCGTCGGCCTGTCGATGGGCCGACCCGTCCCAGGACCACACAAAACCCCAGTATCTTGAAGGTACACATACATCTTAAGGTGCTTCAACATGCACGTGAACGTTGCTAGAGGTGACCTCGCAAAATTGACTGCGCATTTCGAAGCAGAGTCGCACTTAGACGAGAATCAAGAAGGCGTAAAGGCGAATCTGGCGCCGTTCAGGCCACAGCCTCTCCCCTGCTGTTCTGCTGACGAGCCGGTTCCCCTGAGCGCCGTCTCCTTCTGCCTGGCGCCTCCCACCTGCACCTCAGAGCTGTGAGCGTGTCCGGCGGTGGCGGCGACCGGGCCGGCCATCCTCCCCTTCCCCTTCCCCCGGCCACAACTCAGCGCTGGCTGAGTGGACCCGCCTCCGCCGCTACCGTGCCATGTTTTACTGTAAATGCACACTGTTAATTGCCGGCCTGGCCGCCACTCCATGCATCATATCCGACCGCATTGGAGCCCGGCACGCAACGGGCAGAGCGCGCCTGAGAAACGGCCGGCCCTCTGCCACTTAACTCATGCGCCCAGATTGCCACGGCGCAAAAACCGGCGATGGCGGTGCATTCTCGGCGAGATGAGGCACGTTCTGGAGGAGGGAGACGCGCCAGGCCTGGCTCTGGCTAGCGGCGGAGGGAGACGCGCCTGGCTTGGCTGATGTTAGCAGCGTAAGGAGACGGCCAGGCCTGGTACCGGCTAGTGGCGAAGGGAGGACGCACCAGGCCTGATTGATGCCTGGCGGCGGAAGGAGACGCACGCGGCCTGGCTGATGCTAGCAGTGGAGGGAGGTGGTCAGGCCTGGCTTCGGCTAGCGGCGGAGGGAGACGCGCATGGCTTGGCTGATGCCTGGCGGCGGAAGGAGACGCACGCGGCCTGGCTGATGCTAGCAACGGAGGGATACACACGCGGCCTGGCTCCGGCTCGCGACGGAGGCAGACACGCGCCCGTCTCGGCTCGAGACTGGCGCCTACCTCGCACCGCAGGCACTGGACGATCAGCGGTGTTTGTTCAGCGTCTGAGCGACGGCGGGCCGGCCGTCGTCGGGCCGACGCGACAGACGACACCGGCGTGGGCTGACCCCTCATCCGTCTCCCACGCGCCGCCGCGCCGCCCCCACTTGACCCCTCGCTTCCGGCGGGAGAGGGATTATCACCCGCCCCCGCGCCGGCCCAGCCGCCCTCCCCGAGGACTGGCACTGATCGCCGACTGGCGCTATTGGGTTAGAGGCAATTGGATTCCGACGCTCGTGTGCGGATGTGCCTGATGAGATTGAGCGCTGGGTCTCCGTTATGCGTTTGTTTTGGGCGTTCTATAATGCGTTGCGCTTGTGCTAATTTGGCGCGCTTGAGTGCTTAGTAACGAATGCAGAGACACTTTGGACGTGCGATGCCTGCCAGCATCTGCTCCACGCATATTGCTCAGCACGGATCGAATAGTCAATTGGATGGGGAAAATGGGGTTATCAGTTTTTTTGACAGAAAACGACTGCATCTGCGCCGCGGGTTTTCACCGCTGCCGTTAAATCTATCACAGTCTCGAGATTTTCACAGGCGTTTGGACATATCTCAGAGCAATGAGTTGCCCGTAGTTGTAGGCCTCGACACATGGCTAGCAAATGGACACACAGTCTGTGTTGTTCGGGTTAGTGGAGGTGACATTGACAAGAATTGCCAGCACGTTGCGCCAAACTGTTCATTGTAACACCTTTTCTTGAAAGCATTGCCACGTGAACTGTAGTTCCACGTGCGAACCTGCCAGACCCCCGCCGGCAGCGGGTCGACACCGCAGCCCCGTCACGTCACGTCACGGCCTGACCGTCCCCGCAGCGGCAGGCCGCACGCGACGCGGCCACGCATCAGGAGCCGCGCGACACCGCCGGCGCGTCACGTGACGCGTGTGCGTGTCTGCGCATGGGGACTGGCCCGGGTCGGCGGCCCGGCGGGGTCCGCTCCGATCTGGCGCCGTTTGGCACCGCGATCACGTTTCAGGCTCTACTCCCGGTGTCATATGCATAACAAAACGGCGCTGGGCCATGCCAGCGCGAGCCCGGGCGCCCGGGCCCGGCGAGCGGCCCTGGCGGGCCTCGCGGGCCGTCGCGGCACCGCTCGGGACGAGAGGTACTATTTCTGGCATGTTCACCGATGGTGGACATTCAACCCACCTTGACCTCTGCTCGCGAGTTGTTTAGCTGGGGTGGGATTTAAACATGTCAGCATTTCGCGGTTTAGAAAAATGTTTCGGTTGTCGCCACACACGGTTTTCATGAGGAACTCATGCAAATCCATTCAAAATAAATGCGGCACGCTTTTGATTCTTAGAACTAGCAGCTGTGATCAAAGAATTACAGGTCAACCAGTGGTTCTGGCAGACTAAGGTGAGCATGGAGAAAGCAAACAGAATTAAAACTTATTGCACTTCATTAGTCAGAGGACAACGAAATATCATTTTGTGTTGATTACTTTGTCCAAGACATGCTGGACGATAAAGTATCGAAGTGGTGAGTTAAAAAACTTGCTTGATGGCACGCGCATGCTAATTTAACAGGATCAGTAAGTATGAATACGTTACTGTACCTCTCAGAGTCAATTCCAGAGTTAACCTAAACCCGAACCTGAACCAAGGATTGGACCCGACCAAGCTACTTGATTTTGGAGCCGTATGATTCGATCAACTGATTGAACTTACCTAAGAGTGAGCCTCAGCCGCGCCCGTTTCCAAAGTCCCAAGATCCAAACTGGTCCCCGTTGCCCTGGCTGCGCTTCTCAAGATAGGTTTGTTTCACGAAACGTGACCACCTTTGTATGCCATAACCA